GCTGGGTCATGCGTGATGGTCGGTTGAGTGAAAACAATGCTCGAGTAGATAATAGGGCGGTGGTGAATGAGACGTGGCGTCGAATGGAGAAGGAACTGTTGCTACGTGTGCAGCAGAAGTTGGATACGATGACGAAACCCATCGCAGAAACATCGCTGTTGGTGCGTACGATGCAGCACCGACTCAGTGTATGGAGCAGACCGCATGAAGTCCTGTGGCCGTTGGCGCTGGTGTGGCTGGGTCTGATTTCCGTGTGGCTGGTGTACAAGGGCACGAGCGCCGTCGTACACCGCGGTGCCCACAAGTGAGGCGTAGTTTCTCCAGCTTCGATTAGGGGACGTCAATTTGGGAAAAATAATTAATTTTCACTTTCGATTCTACCTTTTCACTTTCTGCTTTTCGTCACGAAAACCAAAAGCACCTCGCGAGGCCAAATTGACTCCACATTGCTTTTTGTCGAAGCTAATAAAAATACAAAAGAATTCTTCAATAGTATAAATTTGCTTTTCAAAATCCAACGAAAAGCGGAAATTTCCTAAATTGACTCCCTCCCCTATTATTCTTGTATTGACTGTGAATTATTGAGGAAAAAGTGTTTTCACGCGTGCTTTTTGGGGGTTTTACGCGTGTTATGAAAAGTGGGGGAATTACGCGTGTTTTCTCAATAACAACTTTATGGAATGGGGGGACTTGCGGGTGTAAATAATTTGAGATGCATAAGCTATTTTATCGAACAATTTTGACAGCTAATGGCGTCGCCGATCATCACACGCCATCTAATCACACTACTGTATCTCCTATTCCAGTCATTCTTCGACCGGAAAAGGACGTGTCAAAACACTAAAACCGAATATTGGAGCTCTACGTCTGGCTGCAGCCCATCGAAGGAAGATGTCGTCGCGGCGTGGAAGGCGGTCGGTATCATCCCCGTCTTCGCCAATGGCAGAAGAAGAACTTCATTACTTTTGGACGATGGGAACTCTCCCTTCCACGCTGTGATGGCATCTTTCGGGCTGTGGGCAAGTTCGGTGACTCTATGACCATCATCGGAATGATGGGGACAGGGTTGGCCATCGACGAGAAGGACTTCCACGCATACATAATACACCATGATGTGTGTGCATGGAGCCTTAGACATGGGGCATTTGAGTTAGCAACAGTTGAAATATTGAGGGACACGACAACAAGATATGGAAATGTGCTATCAATTTGGAATCGAGTGGTGAGGTATACTAGTATGAGGAAGCTGAGGCTGAAGTGACCACTCAGAATATTATGATCGCCTCATAGTATATGTGGCTGAAATTGTAGCAATAAGCACTAACGTTACCTACATGATTTACATCCTCGACTGCCCATGTGAACACCCCCTCCAACTCCACAGTATCTCATTCCTACCTGCAGGCCAATTGTTGTTCATATTGTGTTCAGATAGGCTATCGAGGGTGTAATCTATAGATTGTGTACATCGCTACAATTGAAGCGACATATACTATACTATGAGGCAATCATAATATTCCTGAGTGGTGAATGTACACTTCCTATTGGGCAGACTTTGACTAAGGAGGTCATCATAGCACTCGCCAATTCGTCGGCGGCCTTAGTGGCGCAAGCATTGGTCCAACGTGCAGC